ATCGTGAGGACAGGGATGGCTTCCGCTATTCCCTCACTTACTTTGACTGCCTCAGTCATGCTGTCCTGCTTGAGCCCTTGAAGTCCCTCACGCACAGTGAAGTGCGCAGAGCTTTCACGAGATGTGTCCTCGGGAGCAGGACACTCCCTGCTCTAGTCCGTTCGGGACAGGGGACCAGAGTTCAAGAACACTCTCATGACATGAAGGAGCTCGCTACCATGCTGGGCTCGGAGTGGCGCTTCAGGTCTCCTCTGAGACCCTGTGAAATGGGTTCGAATGAGAGAGTGCACCAAGAAGTGCAAAAGGTCCTGGGGGCTGTGGTGCGACAGGTCGGCAACTTGGATTCGTGGTTGGAATGGTTGGTCGTCGCTGAGTAAATCATAGATAATACTCCCGGGCCTCATGGCTATACCCCTCATGACCTTGAACGGTCCTGGAGTCTTAGCTTGCCCTTGGAAAAGGATGTTCTCAGGGCTGCTGTCCAGTTCGAGCCAGTTTCGGACTGGGCGTAGCCAATTCAAGCAGTTCCATGAGCTCTCGTCAGCTGTTCGAGCTCACTGGGACAAGTCCTCAGAAGCGCGGGCGCGCCTGGCCAACAGGCATCATCGCGCAGTGGACCTGAAGCCCGGGGACCCAGTAGTGTGGAATGCAGCGCGTCGTGGACGTGGCTGACCCTTGAGCCGGTGCTTGACGCATCGGGGGTACTCTTTCCGCTGCCAAGGGCCCTCACAAAGCTCATGCTGCATCCTCGTTCCGCCTGACGCTGAAGGGCCTAGAGCCGAAGTACCAGTCGTCCTTGAAGATGACGAAGAACAGCACCCTGACCGCCCAAGTTTGGGTCAGCAGGTCGCGGTGAGGCCAAGCAGCTGTCAGCCGAAGAGGCAGAGATTTTGTGCTCAGACTTGGCGACCGAGTCGCGTACCGTGGTGCCCGTGGCGGGCCCAAGGTGTGCCGCCTAGGCAAGGTGACGCAGGTCGACCAAGCTCGTGCGCAGACCGGTCTTCACCGGTACCTGCCCGAGGCTGGGGGCGTAATCAAGTGGGTTCTCGCCTGCCTGGACGAGGCCGGATCTCTGACGTCTCATGAAGGGACACGCCCAGC